ATCCCATATAACGGTAATTTAGAGAAATACGAAATCTTCGATAAATCAGTAATTATTGAAGCTAATTTATTCAAAATTGATGCTTGCAACAATTCGTTACCAAGAAATACGTTTAGGATACAATTTTGAAAAATGGGCGTGGCACCGCCCACTTATGAACACATATATGTATCTCGGTAGCCGTTCTACCAATAACTCGGTGTGGTTATTGTGCTTGCCACACAGAAGCAAAACGTTGAAAATTATTGAAATCGAACTAAAATTACGGCCGCTTTTCATATAAAAGTAAATTTCAGAAATGCTTGAAACTTCAATATTTCGAAATTTAAGGACGCCAATTTACTTAAATTTGATACACCCCGGTTTACCATGTAGCGATAGCTTTCGGAAAGGTGAAAAACATATATTTAATACTTGCGCCGGGTATTTAATGTTCGGCTCCGCCCGAACTTAGACTTTCTTACTTGTTTNGATAGCTTTCGGAAAGGTGAAAAACATATATTTAATACTTGCGCCGGGTATTTAATGTTCGGCTCCGCCCGAACTTAGACTTTCTTGCATGTTCTATATCAGGTAATTTTCACAAGATATTTTCATGCTAAGTTTGCATGGCAAATAAAAAAAAATCAAACTTGTAATATGGAAAATGTTACTCAAAAAATTTACCTACATATAATTGCGTAGTATAAAAATAACAAAAATATACTACATATATACATTCCTCGTCATTTGAATAGCGCACCCTTTTTTTGATTTTCTACCCTGCAAAGTATGCTTGACAAAATTTTTATATGGAAGTAAATGCGCAGCACAGTCAACAAAAAAAAATGTCGCCCCTATGTTTATTTTTTTTTCAATTTTCAAAAAAATTTTTAATGGGATGTAGACGTAGAATATGGTATATTTTTTATAAAGAGTTAATGAATATTAAACAAACAAAAGGAAAACTGTACCTACTACGTATTAAAAGGATGCGCTATTCAAATAACGAAGAGTGTATATTTCTTAATTATTAATCCAATTTTAAACTTTAAACATAAATCCATTGGCCTTAACCGTACAATATTTAGAACGCATTGACTAGTTGAACCTTCAAAACCAGCTTACCCTTATGTAGTTATCAATTAGTTATCGACACTGCTTTTATTTCGATAAGGAAAAGTTAATTTTAAAATATCGAAGAAAATGCGGGACAAAGACAGGACACTTGGAAAAAATCAGTACATTTTGGGGGTTTTCTCTTTTGAAAAACTACGCAGGACAGACCTTTAAATAACAGTACGGTCCTGCGAAAAACAGAACGGATGGTCACCGTACTCATACGCCATGTACGAGTACGGCAAATTCGATGTGGCGTATAAGTAACATTATGTCCTGCTCCTATTTTATACAAGTAAATTATTGCACATTTTCATTTGACTATTCACAACTTTTTATTTATCCATCGATGTTCATCGTTAGTAGTTTGATTTTTCGGCAAAAGCGGTAGGCTTTAATACAGAGGTGGGCAGCCTCGGCAGAGCATTTTTGTAGTGTTCGTGCAATTGATGTCACTGTGTGCGTGCGAACAACCCTGCAAACCATTTTTTAAGAGTATTCTGCGTTGTAGAGAAATTTTAAAGATTTCGTAAAGATCTCATCCGATTTTTTGCCGAATATTCTAAAATGAAATAAACTCTGCACACTTCGATTCTTTTACGAAATTTCGGAAGAAAATCGTTAAAGCAATGAACAATGACTCGTGAGTCGGTGTGGATGTGTTTGTGAAAATAAATATGTGTTAGTTACACCAACATGACTCCCGGCATGACTCTGAATGATTCAACTGTGTGTAGTCGAAGGCGAGTCAACACGTACACAAATGACTCGCGAGTCAGACGCACCGTGTATGCCGCCTATAAGCTGCTATGTGAAGAATTTCCTGCAGAATCTTTTCAGAATTTTCTTTATTTCTCGTACAGAAATTTCTTTACGACTTCGTTTCAACCCATTCATATAATTTTCTTTGCAGATTCGCAAAAAATCGTTACAGAAATGAGATACTCCTAAAGATTTCGTTAAGATTCCGTGAACTTTGGTTTGCAGGGAAGTTGGGCAGTTGAATGAAGCTTCCGCTGCCTTCTCAAGCAGAGCGTGCATGTATACGCGAATACGACGCGCATTCGGCCGTCGGGCGGACGCTGCCTTGCTTTGCTTTAATGCAATTGAAAAGCAAATTATAAAAAATCTGTTATTTTTTATTTTTTTTTTCCTATTAAAATTTAAATTTTTGTCATAAAAATGAAAACATCGTGGGAAAATTATTAAGTCTACGGATTCCGGCATTTTTACAACGCTTCTTTTGTGTAATTTTAAAACTTGATATTTTCCCCACAGTGTAATTTCTGTGCGTCTTTATGTTGATGCACAAATTAACGTAGAAGTACATATGTATGTATATTTGAGATCACTCGCACAGAAATCAAACTTAGGTGCACCTCTACCGACTCGGCTACGGTGGCTGCGGTTGTCATCAATCACTTGTCTACAAAATGGGGACATAATCGTAGGAACCCTAAAATTTCTTGTCACATTTGGTACTAATTGTTGTGTCATTTTGTCAAAATCTCTGTGAATGTAAATTTTATAATTATAAAGTCGCAGCAAATATAGAAATAAATATATCAAAGCAACAGGTGCTTTCTGAATTGCTAAACATTTTCCAACCATCTGTTTGAGAGAAAGTCAAATAAAACAACGAAAATGAAGATATTTCCGCAAACTGACTAAACAAATTAAAAGTTTCGATTCGCTGGAGTGACTTCATTAAGCGGTAAGACGAACAATCATACATCAAGTGCTCTCATCTGTAAATATCAGCACTCACTAAAATACGATTCTTCATTGAAATCGAAATTAAATGGCTGAAGAAATATGTTTCGACTTAAATGCATTTCTATTAAAACTTTTAATTAAGCCAAACGAAGCGAAATGAGCAGCAAATCGCATGAATAGCTTACGAATGACAACAGCCAGAAGTCGAGGAAAGCATCCAACCAGTAGCAAAAAGACTACAAAACATGAAATTAAAGCCATGAGGAGTGCGGCCGACTGTGCACTTACAGCGCGCTGCAACGCCAGCTTAATTAATAAAGTAATCTAATAAGCGATTTCCTATCGCATACACGCCTCGTTCGCTCATCATCGTGCGCGTTTGGCTTACTCATGACTTCCTTGATGCTTTAGTGCTAAATAGCTGAAGGCTGAAGCTTTAAATGATAAGCTAGTTGAAGATAAGCCGAACATTGTACGTGCTCGAGCGAGAATATAAATCACTGAAGGAGGTGAAGATAGATGCAATTGCGGGAAAGAGCAGTAAATCTCAATTGAAATCACTTTAAGAAATGCAATTTGCACACAAATTAAATATCAGCTGGAAACGAAGGCTATTCGATGAATAATTGGTACTACATTGGCACCGTTAACACTCAGATTTAAAATCAGTGTTTTCTTTCATCAAATTAGAGAGCAATCAGATAATTGGGAATTTTTGAAAATAATACAAACTTTTTATTAAAAAATACTTTACAATTGCTGTTCTGTTTCAAGAACTTTTTCTACCTTCAATTAGAATTGAATTTAAAGTTTGTGAACTTGTGAAAGCTACTCAGAACAGTTTTAGTTTTTATTTTTTTTTTCAAAAGTTAACCTTTTTCGACTAAAAAAAAATTGTCTGCCTAATTTTGCACAACTTTTTTTTCAGGAACTCTAGAATTATTGGAAAGCTACTCAGAACAGTTTTAGTTTTTATTTTTTTTTTTCAAAAGTTAACCTTTTTCGACTAAAAAAAAATTGTCTGCCTAATTTTGCACAACTTTTTTTTCAGGAACTCTAGAATTATTGGAAAGCTACTCAGAACAGTTTTAATTTTTATTATTGTTACTGTTTTTTAAACA